CATAGTGCTCACTTCCCATTGTTATCATGTTTTTCAGGTCAGGACGTCGGGCCGGGAGCGTGAGATGACGGAGGCTTCAGGACTTTTATGTTTTGACTGTGTATATATTACCACGATTTACGTTTCCGCTGATGATAGTTTTGATGAACTTATGTTTTGACCGGACTTTTGGAAAACTTTATGCTTTCAGTAACAGTACGATTTTATTAAAAATTAAGACAACTGTTTTCCAAAGTAAGTCACGTTTTACGGTAGCACCCCGAATCAGTTTTCACAAAGTAAATATTTTATTTATAAATTTTGCGAAAAAGCGTACTCTGATTTCAGTAAAAAGTCAGGGTGTTACAATTTGGATGTATTACGGGGCATCAGCGAGACTGAGTGTCGCAATGTTCACATCGGCACAACATTTTGATAGAACCGAGTGTCAAAATATTTTACATCGGTACCGAGCTGTTGCTCGGATTTCAAAAGTGAAAGTCTTTGAACTTTCATTACATCAAAAGAGCAGCTTCTTTTCTTCAAAGAAACAAAAAGAGGGTCCGTTCAAAAGAAAGGTCGGTTGTCTGACTTCGGACCATTCATTGGTAGAATTTCTTTAGGAATACAGTATTCCACGGGTATTGATGTGGGGATCCGTCAGGATGAGCAATCTGACTTGCTCCACGGGGTAAGACCTCAATGATCTGGAAAGGTCCTTCCCACTTCGGTTTAAGTGGACTGGGGTCAGGCCCCATTATTCGTTTGAGTACTAGATCGCCAACTCGGAATGAACGGGGTTTTAATTTGGAATTGATATATCTCTCGCTTCTTTGTTTGTAAGCGGCATTCTTTAGTTCAACACGAGTACGATGTTCTTCGAGCAAGTCCAAATTTGCTTTTATATTGTCCGAGTAGGACTCTTTGGTATAATGTTGAATTCGGTAGGTCGGTTCACCGAGTTCAACTGGAACAACTGCTTCCGAACCGTATGTTTATGAAAATGGAGTTTTGCCTGTGGAAGTCCTTGGGGTTGTACGATATGCCCATAGGACGTGTGGCAGTTCTTTTGGCCAGGCCCCTTTAGCGACATCGAGACGGACTTTGAGACTGTTTTTAATCAGCTTGTTGATGGCCTCGACTTGACCATTCTATTGCGGGTGATAGGGCGAGGAGAAAAAGTTTCTGACATTGTGTTCTTCGCATAGAGATTCAAGTCGCTTGCCTTCGAATTGTCAACCATTGTCAGTGATAATTGAGTTCGGTACTCCGAAGCGGCAAATGATGGACTTCCATATAAAATCAACAACTTTTTGTTCGGTTATCGTGGATAATGGTTCGGCTTCAGCCTATTTGGTAAAGTAATCAACTGCAACAATGGCAAATCGGACACTGCCTTTTTCAGTCGGTAGGGGACCGACGACGTCAATTCCCCATTTGGCGAATGGCCACGGACTATAGACCGACTTGAGCTCTTCAGGGAAGTGATGAATGTTTGGTGCAAAAAGTTGGCACTTCAGGCATTTTCAGACCCACGCGGCGGCGTCTGCTTTTAAAGTCGGCCAGTAATATCCTTGTCGCATAATCTTGTAGGATAAAGCTTGGGCGCCGGGGTGGCTCCCACAAGTTCCTTCATGCACCTCTTCAAGAACGTATCATGACTCGGACTCGGTCAAACATTTTAAAAGCGGGACTGAATATCCTCTCTTGAACAAGGAGCCGTTGTCCAGAGTATACTGAGCAGCTCGAATCTGAAGTGCACGAGCTTCTTTGGGATCCGGAGGTAGGGCCACAGGTTCCAAGTACTGAACGATGGGATCCATCCAAGTCGGAAGTTTTTGAGAGGTTGCCGGATCGATTGTCACAACTTTGGGAAAGTGGGTCTCGGTTGTTCTTGCTGACCGATTTGGACATACTCCATACTTTCCATTCCGGTATTCGAGGCTAGTCGGGACAGTGCATATGCTTGCACATTAAGAGTTCGGGGGATGTGTTCGACGTCGGCAGAGAACTTTGACAACTTCTGTTTCGCCAAGGATAAATAAGGTGTCAGCCGAGGTTCCTTGACTTCGTGTGAACCATTGATTTGATTAACCAAGAGTTGCGAGTCGGAGAAAACTTTAAGGTACTTTACATTATGGACTCGGCCAAACTTAGTCCGGATAGCAAAGCTTCATATTCGGCCTCATTGTTGGTAGCGGGAAATAGAAATTTAACCGAATGGCAGAATAATCGGTTTTCGGGATTGGCTAGGACTATTCCCGCGCCTGCTCGGCTTGCCGTAGAGGATCCATCAATGTAGAAAACCCATGGTTGGTCGTTATGGTGAGCTTCCACAGCCGGCGTGAACTCAACAATGAAGTCGGATAGGACTTGTGCCTTGATTGCAGTTCTCGGTTGATAATGAATGTCAAATTGTCCGAGTTCTACGGCCCATTTTGTCATTTGCCCTGAAGTATCAGGTAGGTGTAGGACTTGCCGCAGTGGATACAAAGTACGAACGATTATGGAATGCTCTTGAAAATAAGGCTGTAATTTCCGAGCAGCAGTAACAAGTGCAAACGCCAACTTCTCCATAGGGGGATAGCGTAATTCGGCATCATGTAGGGCCTTGCTGATGTAATAAATTGGTGACTGAAACGTCCCTTCTTCACGTATCAAGACAGCGTTGATTGCCGTATCACTGACTCCGAGGTACAAGAACAGCATTTCCTCGGGTTTTGGCTTCTGTAACGTCGGAGGAGAAGCCAGAGTCTCTTTAATGCTGGTAAGTGCTTTTTGACATTCTTCGTTCCATTTGAAGTGTTTTCCTTTCTTGATGGCTTCAAAAGAAGGTTAGCAACGGTCCGTAGATTTGGAAATGAAACGATTAAGAGCGGCAAGTCGGCCAGTGAGGGCTTGAACACCCTTGACCGAGGTCGGGGGAGTCAAATCTTGAATTGCTTTGATCTTGGCCGGATTGGCTTCAATTCCCCGTTGACTGACCATGTAACCGAGGAACTTCCCAGACTTGACTCCGAAGGTGCATTTTTTAGGATTTAAGACCATGGAGTACGACCGAAGAATGTTGAACATTTCCTGAAGATGTGTAACATGGTCGGAGGCATTCACCGACTTGACGAGCATATCGTCTACATAAACTTCCATGGTGTGACCGATTAAATTGGCAAACATCTTGTTGACAAGATGCTGGTAAGTAGCCCCATCGTTCTTTAGCCCGAAGGGCATCACGGTATAACAATACAGACCTCGGGCAGAATAGAAAGAAGTATGTTCGGAGTCTTCGGGATCCATGGGAATTTGATTGTAGCCTGAATAAGCATCCATAAAACTTATCAGCTCGTGTCCCGAGGTGGCATCAACCATGTAATCTATGTGAGGAAGTGGGTAACTATCTTTCGAACATGCTTTATTTAAGTTTGAGAAATCTATGCATAAACGCCACAAGCCATTGCTCTTTTTTACGAGGACAGGGTTAGATACCCACGTCAGATATTTGGCCTCTTTGATGAACTTGTTGTCTATAAGCTTTTTGACTTCTTTCTCCAAGGCTTTTTGACGGTCTGGTCCAAACTTCCTCCACTTTTGAACGACAAGTCTGACAGTTCGGTCGAGATTCAGCTTGTGGCTAGCAACACCGGGGTCGATTCACTTCATATCCTCGTGTTTCCATGCAAAGAAGTCAGAATTGTTTTGGAGAAATGATACGAGTTCAAATCGGAGAGGTTCTGGGAGGTGACTTCCAATGCGCAACGACTTCTGACGTGTTGGTTCGTCAATATAAATTAACTCCACTTCTTCTCCGGGTTCAGCTCGATCACTTCGCCTTTTTTCCTTGAATTGAGTCCTTGGACCCAATTCATATTTATCTGGGATTGGTTCTTTTCCGGGTCGTCTACCTCGGTCCTCAGATAAAGGGTCCGAGGTGATGGGGACAACGATTGCATGACTCGGTTCTTCGGAAATTGTATCGTCCGAAGTGACTAATGGTGGGGAATTTCCTTCGTTGACCGAAGTGGCGGAATGAACTCCGGTGAATGGTATGAAAAGTTCTTGAGCTTCTCTTTGATCCCCGTAATGCGTTCCTTCGCCTCGAGTTGTCGGAAATTTGAGTGCGTAATGGAAAATAGAAATAGCAGCGCGGAGTTTGTACAGAGCAGTTCTTCCGATGATTGCATTATACTCGTTGTTGATATCAAGAACTTTAAAGGTCTCCATAACAAGCTTGGTAACGTGTTCGGGCGTGCCAAACCTGACAGACAGGGTGATTTCGCCGATGGGCTTCGAGATACTCCCATTAAACCCCTATATTTGATCATTGCAAGGTCGGATATCTGCCGAATCAAGACCCATTTTATCGAAAGCTTTCAGCATCAAAATACTCGAATAGGCCCCGGTATCGACCATGACACAATGGACTGGGATTCCACATATCAGAACGGTAATGACGAGTGCGTCAGAGTGAAGGTGCGCAAAGTGATTTGCATCTTCCATGTTGAAAGTAATGGGGCAATTTCGGGCATTGAGAACGTCTCGTAGATCCATGGTGAAAACATGCTTGCCTGAATTGTAAGCTTGCCGAGCATAGGCTTTAGTTTGTCGACGGGATGAGGTATCTCGATAATTATTAGTATTAACTCGATGGACGGTGATTTGCATCGGGCTGGGAGATCGGTTTCGTTTAAGTCCTCGAGAGTTTCCGGTTGACTCAACATTAAATGTTTCCGAGGTGAACATGAACACTTTTTTCTCTCTTTGCCGGATTCATTTTGGCGTAACACCTCGGTCTTCATCCTCATCTTCATCATAGGGTTCAATTTGACGTCCCGGCCCCATTTTCTGGGTATGGGAGTTGCGATAGAACTTCCATAGTTGCAGATGACCGATTAAATGTAATAGGGCAGCTAACAGGCTTAAACACTCATCGGTGTTGTGCCCCGGTGATTTATGATAGTCACAATTCCGAGATTTATCTAGTTTGTCCTCGGGCATCCGAAGTGGTTTAGGATCGGGCATGATACCTTTTCCTTTGATCTCTTCATAGATGGTGGCAGCCCGAGATGAATACACGGTTTGGTAACTGGATTTCACGTCGGTACCGTACTGTTTCTGAGCCGCCCTGATTTTGGGGTCGTTGGCGTCTCCCCGGGGGTAACCTCGAGATTGAGCCTTGTTTTGCTTATCAAAGGATTTTTTTTCTTCCTGTCATCGGTTCCCGACTTGGATGACTTTGGATTGAAATTAAAATCGAGGACCGACATCGCTTCCTCGGTAATAATATGTTGCTGGGCACGGGCAAGGAATTCCTAGAAGGTGTTTGGCTTGTTCTGACATAATGTCCAGCGAAAAATAGAATTCGGTTTTAGGCCCGCAATAGCCATAACAAGCAGGGTTTCGGGATGACATGGCTCCATATTCTGAACTCGGTCGTTAAATCGAGCAATATAATCCTTGACACTTTCATCATCTTTTTGAGTTACATTCGCAAGAGACTATTTCGGAACCAAACAAACTTGGGCCCCAATGAAGTGAGATCGGAAAGCCGACCTCAACTGTTGCCACTTCCAAATTGAATGAGGGGGCAAAGAGTGGTACTATTTTTGAGCTCGGGGCTCCAGATTGAGAGAAAACATATGGCAGCGAAGTGCGTCCGAGGCCCCATGGAGATCCATCCATAATGTATAATGACCGAGGTGTGAGTCAGGATCCGACGTTCCATCACATAATCCGATTTGAGGGCCTTTGACTTTTCTCGGTACAGGCTCCGAAGTGAGCTCGGGTGTTAAAGGGGAATCAGCTTCTAAATATACATGCGCCGAAGTGGAGGCTCACCGTGGAGGATCTTCCTGTGCCCTCTGCCGACTTTCCAACTCGGCGATTCTTCGCCGTAACACTTCTAATTCTATGTATTCTTGCCGAGCTGACCGATTTCTTTCAACTTGTTGACGGAGGTCTGTTCGAGCCAGATGGGAATGAGCCTGAGGCCGCGCAGGTGGTGGAGAACGTCGTGGTTGTCCCAATTGACTTTCAGCGATTTCTTCATGGGGGACCACCGGAGGAGTGCGCGCTGTCTCGGCATGCCGCACTACACGATCTGGGTGCGGAGGCGATGTTCGACTACGAGGCTGAGACGTGGCATGAGAAGTAGTTCCACCGTCGTCTCGTCGGGTAGACGAATTTCTCGGGTTCGTAAGGGTAGTAGGGATGATAGATTGTCCCGGCGCTGTCGTTGACATCCCGAGAGCAGTTTGAGCCATTAAGGCGGCAAACCCACGCGCGCACTCTGGATTTTGAAATAGAGTGGTATAATCAGGCAGGTTGGGTATTGTCGCAGGACGCCTAGCAGATTGATTGCTACGACTGTGTCCTTCGCGCGACGTATGACCGCGATGGTGTGAATGAGACATATCTGTAGTGTTTGTTGTGGCTAAAGAGCCAAGGATTAAAGATTAACCTCAAATAACGTATGAGGCCCTTCCTCTAGCGCCAAACTGTTGTTATGTGATTGTTAACAACGATTACGTAGATGTTTAGTTAAGCAGTTTGAGTGATTTTTAACGTAAAACATGCAATCAAAACTCAACAATGGCCCCGATCCGAGGTGAACCGAGGTGAAAGATGGCGCAGTTTTTATATATGCGTGTTGAATGTTCAGAGAGCGATCCTTGTACAAGAGCATAAATGTGCTATTTATAGTAGCTTTTCGGGCTCGTAGCTCGAGGTGTACGATAACTTTTTCTTGTAAAGCAGCTTTTGATGGGCGGTCATGTGAGTGGGTCCCACTTGAATGATGAAGGATCTCGTGATTTGTGAGGCTTGCGCGTAGGCGCCTTGTCACCAGCTTCGGGAATAGTGACCTCAGTTCGTGGGGACTTCGGTATAAGATAGCCTTGGCTCGGGATGACCTCGGTTCGATGATCATCTCGGTTTTATGTGACCAGGCCGGTTTAGTAGGCAAACCGGGATTATTGTGGACTATGTCGGTGCTTGTAATTAATCCATCCAAAATGCAGTTTGAGGTTGGTAATTGCGGATTACCGAATTGGATGATAACAGTGACCAAGAGAGGTGTCGAGGTGAATCCAGAAAAGGTGCGAGCGGTGATGGAGATGAAGTCGTCGGCGAATGTTAAGGAGGTACAAATCTTGGCTGGTCGAATCGCAGGGATAAGTAGTTTTATATCGAAGGTGGCAGAGAAGAGTGGTCCATTATTTAAAACACTGAAGAAGAGTGCGAAGTTTCAGTGGACGGAGGAGGCGCAAAGAGCATTGGAGAAGTTACAAGGGGTGTTAGTCAATCTTCCCTTATTGGCAAAACCGGTGCAGGGTGAAGATTTAGTGCTATACATTTCTATCGGGGAGAGGGCTGTGAGTTCGGTATTGCTGCGAGAGGAAGGGGTAGCACCGTTTCCTATCTATTACGTGAGTAGAGTGATGCAGAGAACGAAGATGAGGTACTCGGAGATCGAGAAGTGTGCTTTGGCGGTAGTTGTGACGGCTCGGAAGCAGAGACCTTATTTCCTAAATCATAAAGTGAAGGTGCGGACGAACATGCCATTGTGGAAAACTCTTGGTCGACCATCTGTTTCTGGTCGATTAGTGAAATGGGCAGTTGAGTTGAGTGAATACTCATTGTTGTATAAGTCGAGGAGGGCTATAAAAGCGCAAGTGCTAGCAAATTTTATTCAGGAAGGCACGAGAGTCGAAGAGGAGTCCGGTGGAGTGTGGCAGTTGTTTGTAGATTGATCGGTGGCAAGAAGTGGGGCAAGATAGGGAATTGTGCTTGTTTCCCCTAAAGGCGATTACTTAGAGTTTGCAGCCAAAGTGGGATTCAAGATATCCAATAATGAAGCTGAGTATGAAGCAGTGATCAAAGGGCTACAGTTGGCTATGGTGGGAGGATCCCGAAAGGTGCAGGTGCATTTTGATTCCCAGCTGGTAGTCGGGCAGTTTCAGGAAGGATTTAAAGTTAAGGAGGATCAGATGTAGAAGTATGTGTATGAGATGAAGAAGTCGAGAGACGGGTTGTGTAATATCCCGATATTTTATCGGTATAAATTATGTTTTGATTCCGATATAATAGTGTTGACGTTTATTATTTTCGGAATTAATTATTTCAGTCGAGATTACCGAAATTTATTTTCGACGTACCGTTTACGTTTGGAATAATTTTGGTAATTAAGCATTATGTTTAATTAAATAATTAAACATAAATTAAAGTGATTAATGCTAATTGATCCTATTAATTAGGGTATAAGCCGTGGGAGATGGCAAATATTGCCTAACGAATTCTCTAAAGCCGTGTGATATTTGTATATATAAATATGTTCCAATTGGTGCCTAATTTCCTAAGTCTCACGGAAATAAATTCCTCCCACCCATTAATTAGTACATGTGGCATTAGTATAAGCTTGGAGGAAGCATTAGTCACCACCACATCATGTTCTTGGATTAGCAAATGTCAAGGCTTGAAAAAGCCACGTCCCTTAAACGTCACCAACAAATCTCTCGGCCCTCATTATATATAGCATCCGAATTGAGGAATTTTCCCCCACTTTCCATACAAGTTATATTCAGCATATTTCCTCTCAAGTATTGAGTACCATAAGCAAGTTTTATTAAGGCCAAATTCACTTCTCCGCACGGTAATACCTACAGCACGCACGACAATTGACGAAACCGCGCACGGAGCTAAGGAAATCACGACTACCTTGCGTCTTTAGCCGAACGTTCGACGAGGTAACTTCCTCTTCATCTTTTAATCTGGTTAGTAAGGTCATATTAAGGTTAATTGTTCGAGTAATTTTCAGAAATTCATTAGAATGTTCATGTTGAACTCGGTTAAGGCATGCTAGTTCTATACCGGGTTAAGTCCATTTTGGTTCAGCAAGTCATGAGTATTTCCGGCCCTTTTAGCTCCTATTTCATGTATGGTATTCAGTTGAGAAGATAGGTCGAGGAAAGTTAGCCTTTTGTTCATGAAATGGCCTAAAGGGGCGGGCTGCGCACCTAGCGCACAACCGCGGGCCATTAAGCGCCTTGTAGTGTTATTTCTCATTATCGTCAGTTTCGTTCGAGCAATTCATGTCTAAATGATCAAGTTAAGTCATATTATGTTCAGTTATCTTAAGTTGTTCGAGAAGTTTTCATGTTTAACGAAGAAGTGGCCATGAGCCGTGGGCTCGCACATAGCGAGCGCACGCGGACGTGCGTTTGCCCCTTTGAATAAATTCAGCACCTTCCATGTAAATTCAGTATATTAAGTCATGTTAAGTCAGGTAATGTTGTTTTATGTTGAAGTTGTCGGGAAGAAACGTCGGACGGCCGACGGGTGTTGGTTGTGTGTGCGCTGCCCGCATATCGCGGTAGCAGCGTACCGGCAGGAGGTGCGCGGTGCAGGGACTGCGCGGTAGAGTGCCGCGTAAGGCTAGTACCCGCAGCCAATAGTCGTTGGCGATGCGCGTGCGCACGCCAACCCCCCTGTCATGCCAGTCAGCGTACAGTGACGCACGCCAGCGTGCAGTACGCGTTCAGCCGTTG